GCCCGGGTGGCCGAGTCGGACACAGAGTTGACCGCAGAGTCAATTTCAGGCAAATTGTTTTTAATGAAGTCCAACATCTATTTCAACACATATTTATGTTAACAATACTTAAATAATATTTTAAGCCGCATATTTACCCTCTGGTGCTGAGTGGCCCAGTATTCACTTCCCAATGCATGCAATTTGGGGATCAGGTCGACGAGAGTGGCCTGAACCTGGTCGGTCTGAGTCTTCCAGTCGGCCCACCCTCCGGCCTCATCCTTGCAAACGGTTGGCTGAACGGCGCGTCTCTTAGTGTCCAAATTGCACCTCCAGTTGATCACCTCAGAGGTAACGGCAAATTTACCGGTGGCTAAGGGCTGATCCGTTTTGTTGCTAATGAACGGGATCTCAGCCAACGCTTTGGTGAAACCGTAGTCATAGACGGCGTAATGTATTTTCTTGCAGATATCGTACACCACTGGCAGGTCCTCCTCATCCCTCAGTTTCTTACACCAGTTCATCATATTAGTGTCCATTTGCTTTATATTTGTGCGAATTATATTGAGGATGTCAAGGGAACCAAATGTCTTTTTGCTCAGCGCCTGGAGCTTAGCAATGGTCACATTGATGAGTTTGGCCTGTTCTGCCTGCCAGAATAGACGCCTGGTCAAACTTGTCAAAGTCGGCAAACTCTTGATCGTAGCATGTTACTATAGTTTGGAGAAATTATTTATAAAATTAAAATAATTTTATAGAATAAAATTCAATAAAATAAATTTATAATTACCGAAACACACAACTGATACTAAAATTAGTGATTTAAACAACATTTTGATTTTATGGTTAAAACTTCTGATTCTGAATCATAAAAAATTTAAATTAGCAAGGAGTGAGTCTACAGATTATATACCATTAAGATTACGAAATAATATTAACCGAAACACTTGTGTCGGTCATATCTGAATCATTATTTAACGTCAGTGTACAAATCAGATAATTTATAAACATGATTCATTTGTTTGAGCATCCCGTTTTAAAGTATGTATAAATAATATGTGTGTTTTGTAATTTACGTATACTTAGTTTACCATTACCTTTACCAAGTACAAAAATATGTATTAAGTGATTTATTATTTATTAACAGTGAATTCCTAAAGCAAGTAACATGTACAATTAGTAATGTTATAAGGATTACAAAATTAAAATAATTTAAAATAAATGGAACTGATTATTAGACTTGAGATTTAATGTTAATTCCTATAGTTTTATTTTTTTATGTTTAAGCATTTATATTAGATATACTGTATATCATATATCTGTATATCATATACATCTTTATTATATACATATACATATACAAATTATTATCTCCATATTGCACGCAAAAACAACTATATTATACATTATGATGGTCAAATAATTGATATCAAACTATTAATAATATGATAATTAATATTTATTTGAGTCTTTTAATTGAATTAAATAAAAAATTAATTCAACTTTCAATTTATTTATGAGAACAATTATATGAGTCTCAGTAATAGTCTTTCAGTTAAACGTCTGTCCATTTATACCGGGGGTCTGCTGGAAGCGACATTATTGAGCAAGTTCAATTGTTCAACAAGTATGCACAAGATTTTAGCTCTGGTATCTGAGTCGGACACTCCCTGAACCTTAGAGTTAACATCAGGCAAATTGTTTTGAATGAAGTCCAACATCTATTTGAATACATAATTGTATTAATTATAGTGAAATTACATTTTAAGCCGCATATTTACCTCCTGGTGCCGAGTGGCCCAGTATTCACTTCCTAATTCATGCAATGTGGGAATCAGTTTGATGAGAGTAGCCTGAACCTGGTCGGTCTGAGTCTTCCAGTCGGCCCACCCTCCGGCCTCATCCTTGCAAACGGTGGGCTGAACGGCGCGTCTCTTAGTGTCCAAATTGCACCTCCAGTTGATCACTACAGAAGTGGCCGCAAATTTACCGGTGGCTAAGGGCTGATCCGTTTTGTTGCTAATTAACGCGATCGCAGCCAACGCTTTGTGGAAACCGTAGTCATAGACGGAGTAATGGATATCTTCGAGGATATCGGGTACAACAGGCACCCCCTCATCTCTCAGTTTGGTCGCATAGTTCATCATGTTAGTGTCCATTTCAGCGATGTTGTCGTGAATCATCTTTAGGATCTTCACCGAACCAAATGTCTCCTGACTCAATGCTTGAAGCTTAGCAATGGTCACATTGATGAGTTTAGCCTGTTCTGCCAGAATTGATGCCTGGTCAAACTTGTCAAAGTCTGAAAACTCATCGCATGTCACTATAGTTGGGAAGAAAATTGATAAAATTAAAATAATTCTATTTATTCTGTACTTTGATTATATAATCAAAGCTTTACCAACAAAGCACTGGTATGAATAAAATTTAATAATTAATACTTAATTCTTACCGAAACACACAAGTGATACTAAAACAATAGATTTAATCATCATTATGATTTTATGGTTAAAACTTCTTATTCTGAATCATAAAAATTATAAGTTTACATTACATGAGAGTACAGCTTATATACCGTAAGATTGTGAAATAAAATTAAACTTAACACATGTATCAATAATACTCTATCAAAACCATTATTTAACTTCAACATTAAACCTGATAATTTATAAAAATATAATGTAATTAATTGATTGGGCAATTTATAATTGGGTGCTACCATATAAAGTACTTTTAGTTATACTATTCTAAGTGAAAATGAATTATAAAAATTTTACAATTTATTGTTTAAAATTCTTTGGTACTGTATTTGGTTTTCTCTATATTTCATAAAATATATTAAAACAAGACATTAAAACTTCAAATTATTACTAGCTTACTAAATGCATATTGTGCTCATCCTAAACTCATGCTAAACAAAACCGCTTTTATTATCACTAAATATACCACTAATAATATATAATGTATAATTATATATACATTATATTATATATTAAAATTAAAATTTAATATTTATTCAAATTAATTATTTATTAAAAATAAACTGTACTATAGTTTTATTCATGAGAGCAAAAAATATTTGTTTCAAAAAATTGACTTTAAGTTATTTATTTGTATGAATTAAATATAATAATTTGAATTTATATGTAATTCCTACAGAAACACAAAACATGTACTAAAACAATTAATTTAATCTGCATTATAATTTTAAGCTTAAAACTTCTTATTATAAATCATAAAAATTTTAATTTATATAAAGATTTACAGATTATATAGCATTAAGATTACGTAATAAAATTTAAAAAAACACTTGTGCGGTCATACCTCGTTCATTATTTAATGTAATAATAACACATAATTTATAAATATAATTAATTTATTAAACAATGTCTAATATCTATAAAGTGATTTTAAGTACTTTTACTTTAATCTTTAAACATGTGTTTTATATATTTAAAACAATTAATTGTTAAACTTTTAAAAATAATTGCAAAACATTAAATATACCCTTAAAATACAAAAAGATTTATCAAATTAATTATAATAATACATGTTTTAAAAGTTGCAACAGTAATTATTTTTATATAATAAATTTGATAAAATGTAGTATTTTTCAATAATTCAAGGTAATGGAAATTACTTTTTGCTATAAATCATAGCCCATAAATATACATTAATTTTAAGTTTTTGAAGTATAAAATTCTTACTATTTTTAACAAACGATCATTTATATAATCATTAAAATGTCACCATTTTAATGTAAATTTATAAATAATTAATGTTAGATAACGTAATAATCTACATTTATAAATATAAAGCAACTTATAACTTATTTATACAACTTGATCAATAATTAAAACAACAATAATAATCTAATGACAATAACAATACTATAATTTTATCTAAATGTTAGGTGTAATCCCAAGAATAGAAACATATTGTAGTATAATATATGATAAAACATATTGAGATCATATAATCGATAAATAAAGCCATTCTCTATCAAATGCATAGTTAAATGTGAGTGCAATTTTGATTACCGAGGTAACCTTCAAATGAACATTTATAATGTCTTATTACAAAAGAAAATATACTTGCAACATATGAATACACATGCACAGTATATTATAATAAAGGTATTCTTACACAATAAATCACCAAGTTTACTTAAGTTCTATTGCACTAGAATTAATTAGAGTTTGCCAACAAAGTAGTGCTTGATGACCACCTCAAGAATCTCGTGGACATTATTATACAAAATTACGGTCAAATCGATGTATTGGTGAACAATGCGGGCGCCGGCACCTACTCGGCCATCACTGACCCCAATCTGATCGACCATTTGGATCACGTCTACAAACTGGACGTCAGATCTGTTGTACTATTGACTCAGTTATGTATTCCTCATTTGGAGACAACTAACAGCGCTGTCGTCAACATATCAGCCCTCGCCTCACTTAAGCCGGTATTTCCTAATGAACTGTTTTCTATGTATCAATAAATGTAAATCATTTCTAACCAAATGTGCGGTCAGTTGGTGGGCGCCGTCGCCTATACGATGGCAAAGGCAGCCATCGATATGTTCACCAAAAGTGCTTCACTAGAATTGGGCCCAAAAGGCATTAATGCTGTAAAGTATGTGACAATTGTGTACAGAATTTGTTACACAGAATATAATTTCAATATTTATTGTTGTAGTCCAACAGCTGTGCGAACCGGCTTTCAATGAGCCACCGGTGCCGGCGATACGTTTAAGGTTATGGTTGACCACTTAGAAAAGGCGAACCCTTTGCGGAAACTCCCGGAGCCCCGAGATATAGCCAATGCTGTCATATTCCTGGCGTCAGATAAGAGCGCTTTCATTACGGGAACAATACTTCCCGTCGACTGCGGGAGTCATAACTCATAGGTTTATGTAAATTAAGTTGTATGAAATTTTAATAACTTAATAGTAATATTAAAACAATTTGTTAATTGGATATTGAAAAATTCAATTTTAAATGCAAAAGTTTCCAATTTATTCACATTTATGTTTCAAAATACTTAAATAATTTTATTAAAGTAAAAAACAAAACACTTTAAATATTAAACTTTGTTTTAACAGTATATGATTATAAAGATTTAAATGTTAGGTACACTAAAATGACGTTTAATATAAACCATAGATTGATAATTTTGTAATATTGATGTCGAAATTATTATCAACTATTATTACACTTTCTAATAAGAATTGATAGAAATATACATTTTGAGTGTTTTTAAGACCGACTGCACTCTAATTCACAATAAATCAGTTAATCGCATGAGACTATTATCACTTACTTATTTGGTTGGTTAACACAATTGATTTGTTTGCATACGTGAGCTACCTTTCCCTTAATGAATAGGCAATTACTGATAATTAATGAAATATATAAGTTTGTTATAATTACTCTAAGACTGTTAGTAGAGTTAGTAGACTGTACTGACTGACAACACTAATCATGGGGTCAATTATATACACAATTGTGTTATTATTGTCTGTGATTAATATAGATTTAGTATATAGTGAACAGACAATCCCGGCCTCAATAGTATGCTATTACAGTGCGTGGGCTCATACTAGGGAGAAGCCTATGAATTATGATATCGATGACATCCCGGGTGACCTCTGCACTCATGTCATCTACTCATTTGTAGGTCTAGACAATAAGACCTATGATTTGAGACAATTAGACCCGAAGTATGATATTGAGGGCAAGGGATACGAAAAGTTCGTGGCTTTGCGTCAAAAGTATCCGCACCTCAAGCTCTCCATAGCCATAGGGGGTTGGGATGAGGGCGGCAAACAGTACTCGGAAATGGTGGCCAATAAGGACAAGCGAGCTAATTTTGTCAAAGAAGTGGTTGATCTCATAAATAAGTATAACTTCGATGGTTTCGACCTGGATTGGGAGTATCCAGGTGCTTCGGACAGACAGGGCGCTTATGCAGACAAAGCCAACTACTTATTACTGGTGCAGGAAATGAGGGCTGCGTTTGACAAACAAAAGCGACAACTCTTGCTGACAGCAGCCGTACCCATACCTAAGTTTAGACTTCAGGACGGTTACGAAGTGGCACAGTTGGGACAGTTGCTGGATCAGATCCATCTGATGACTTATGACCTGAGGGGTGTGTGGGCCGGCTTTGCTGATGTACACAGTCCGCTATACAAACGCCCCGGGATTGATGAATACGCCTACGAAGCTCTTAATGTTGTAAGTAATTCATATGTAATTCATATGTAATTCATATGTAATTCGTGTCATTATTATTGCATTTATTAACAAAATAATTAACTATCGGTCAGAACGACGGCACAAATCTGTGGCACTCTATGGGTGCGCCCAAACACAAGCTCATAGTTGGCGTTCCCTTCTATGGCCGGTCATACACTTTGGGCGATAAAACTCAGCATGGGTTGAAAGCACCCATAAATCGTTGGACTCCACCTAATATGGGGGGCGGGAATCCCGGAAAGTACACCAACGCCTCCGGAATGTTGGCCTACTATGAGATATGCGTTGAGAAGGACTGGACCCATGAGGTGGACAATGTGGGCAAATGTCCCTTCGCTTATTCAGGCGACCAGTGGGTCGGCTATGAGGACGAGACAAGTATTGGTCAGAAAATGGATTGGATTGTGAAGGAGGGCTTCGGCGGTGGTATGGTTTGGGCCATCGATTTGGATGACTTTACCGGCGTTTGTGGCAAAAAGAATCCATTGCTGACAGTCATGAAGAATAAGCTAAAGGACTATAAGGTAGTGGTCGACCCCACTGGACCCAGCACTAAGCCAGGCCCACCTACACAGCCAACACAACCCACGCCCTCACCAGTTGCGAGTACAACGGGAACGGGAGGTACGGTCGGTACCACAGTATCGGGTCAAACGGCTGGCACTACTGGTACAGTCGCTACTCAATCACCGCTTACTCCGGATGAACAGTGCGCTCAAGGAGTTGTCAAATTTGTGCCCAACCCTGACTGCACGAAGTATTACTGGTGTGTTCAGGGAAAGGCTGTTCTTGAGACATGTGATGCCGGAACCATTTGGGACATGGATTTAAGTGAGTGTGTCTGGCCAGACGGTAAAGTTAGACCTTATTGCAAATGATTTGTTAGCTAGAATAAATTAATTTTGAACATTAATTTATAAATTGTTATTTGAACTGTATAAAATTTTAAATTAAGTACGAAATAAAGTACATGCATTATTTTAAATGATAAAGTATCTATCAAAAATACTGTACCGTCTGTATAAAAATACATTATTAAATATTAAATTATAATAAAAAGGTAACCTTTTAATACATTAATAAGAGTCAACAAAAGATTATTGAGATATTATTAATAAGTGTTTTCTAAAGTATCATGGTATTATCTTAAATTGTTGTAAGACTTGGCGTCTGGTTGTATCAAACATAATGAACCAAAGCATACAAAATTAAAGTTTGATTAAACATAATGCACTAACTTGTAAGTTCAAGTATTTTTTACTGTACTCATTTTTTAATAACATTATTATCATTTAATGTTAATTTATAAATACTAAAAGTTAAAACTAAAAGCATTTAAAAATATTACTACATTAAATCACAATACTTTAAACATTAAGTATTATTTCAAACCATATACTGTATAATACCTTTAGAGGCAAAACATAAGTGCATTTAATTGACAAATCAATATATTTTAATTAAATGCTTATTTATTATATTTATGTAATTTAATGTTTTGCATGAAATCGATTGTTATATCATTTAGACGGCAACAGTAATAAACAATCAATTTTTGCTATTATTATAAGTTATTCTGAACTTACAAGTTAGAAAATAGTGAAATAATTTTGTGACACGAAAACTACAATTTAAGAAATATAACAATTAATTCATACAAAATTCAGAGACAATTATTAATTGATCTTCAATTATTTGCGATGAGTGCTATGATATGTATAACTAACCTTGATTACAGTATAATAAGCATCATAAAATATTATTCTTGTTCATAAAACTTTAAAAAATAAAAATGTTTGACAGAAAAAGAAATACTTTATTTGATAAGAAGACTGACTTCAAGAAAAACTTTGCCATCCATTCGTACTCAGACTATGCTAATAAATATTATTCTTGTTCATAAAACTTTAAAAAATAAAAATGTTTGACAGAAAAAGAAATACTTTATTTGATAAGAAGACTGACTTCAAGAAAAACTTTGCCATCCATTCGTACTCAGACTATGCTAATAGCGATAAGTATAATAACATTCATAATAATGGCACCAGTGTCAATTATGGTATCAATGATAACATGACCAATAACTCCAAATACGATATTAACGCAAAATGTAAGGATTTCATGGGAAGAGTATTTGATTTTAAGATCGAAAATAGGTTTGAATTCTTTCTGCGAGTCGTTGTCTTTATGGTATGTTTGGGAGGATTTATATATCAGACGGAGATCCTTATCTCGCAATACACGAGCGGCCGTACGGTTGTCAACACAGCTATCGAGCGGCTCAAAGAGACCAAAATCCCGGCCTTTACTTTCTGTTACCCGACGTTCCTATCGATGGAGAAGTTCGTCAAAAAGTATCCAAATTTCACCGACGATTACAAAGAGTACGAAAAACTTTACCGAAAAAATCACGTCAATAGCAATAACAGGAAAATCAACAACCAAACAGCTATTGATATATTGTACGATAACTATTTCATGAAGTTTATGCGATACCTGGATGAGAATCCGCCGCCTATTAGTGAGATCTTCGAGGACTTGAGTATTGAGATGAGGGCCCAACATATGAAGCAACACTTGACTCTGTTTGTGGTCGACGCCAACACCGAGAAGACTAGCAGTAAAGACAACGCCTACTACGACAATAACCCCATTGAGTCGATCACCACAACCCCTCCCATACGCAAGTGTTTCACGTACTTCAGTGATCTGAACGAGAAATGGCGGGACTATAAGATAGGGGTCCAGAACTTCTTCGTGAGGATCGGACAAAGACACGAATGGTTTCCGTTCAGCAAAAAGTATTTGTCTGACTATCAGTTCAGTATTCACTCGCCGAATATGATTCCGGTTCTCAATAAAGAGAATTTCGTGACACTAACCATGGCTTCGAGACTTCACGTCACCTTTTCAGAGATCCAGATCAAACGATTGCCGCCTAATTATGTGACCAATTGTCGCAATTATGACTTCAAAGACACCAATAATATCAACCTCAGGAGCGACTGTATCACCAAATGCGTGGAGAAATGTCTGAAGAAATCATGTAAAACAGATTTCGTTCAAATACCGGAGTTTCTGATCCGATGGGAGTATTATAAGGGGTTGAGTGCTATTGCTTTGGACAGTATATTTGGCGCTGAGCCCGAAAGGTTGGCCCCTATACTGAGCCAGAACGTGACGGAATGCATAGGGAGCAAAACGTGCCAGATACAATGCGAGGACACCTGTCCCAACAATTGCGTCGATAGGGTCTATGACTTCAATATCGTGGAGACCAGAGAGGATAGCGGTAACATTGAGTACAACGTAGAGCACAGTCGACTGCCCGACCAGATCTTTGAACATATGCCTGAAGTCTACTTTATTTCATTTGTGTCTAATTTCGGAGGATTGTTAGGCATGTGGTTAGGGATGTCCATCATCTTAAGCTTTGATTATATCATTAGCTTTCTGTCCAAATTCATGCATTCATTTATCAGACCTTCAAATAAATCATTGAATAAAAAGGCAAATATAAGTACGGATAAGACTAACACTAACAGTAAGCCATTGGATAAAAAGGCAGTCGACACTGATTATAGCTACAATAATAATTACGGTGGCTACAGTTATGATTACTCCAAATAAAACTATTTCTTTTTGTCTTATTTCAATTGGTTACACAAAATTACATTAAACTTATATAAAGAATTGTTTGTTTCTTTTGACATAACTTATAAATTATAATAAAGTAAAATGTTTTGTTGATATTCAAAATGAGCTAAGATTTTAATAATCATTTATATATTTTTTATTCAATTAGTATCTAATCTAAATTAACACTTTTTAAAATGACTGAATAGATGATGAATTGATAGATTGATATAATAAGATCATAAAAATATTTAATTTAATAAAATATTAGAACTTGTACAGTATGTATTACAGTAAAATTAAGAGTAATACCGTAATTGTTATTTTTACGGTATGCAAACTCAATTGTGTTCCAGAACATATTAAGTACAGTAACTACATGAGATTGATTACTTGATCAAGTAATCATCAAGTAATCATTGTGTTCATTAATATATATATATAGTATAACAAGTAAGGGTCATAAGAACTGAAATATAATCATTACAAGTAATTTTTTAGGCAATGTTATATTTATAAATTAAATCAATATGTATTTATTGATAAAAATATTGCACCATAAAATCTTGCACTTAAAAAGCACTATACAAATAGTTCATATTTATTGATTAAAAGGATGTTGCAAATAATCAATGTTGATCATTAACTCTAGTTGAGTTCAAATCAATAGATAATAACATTTATGAATTAACTAACGTTTACTAGTATGCTAATATTTATAATAGTTATAATTATAATTTTATCGAAAATATTACATGCTCTATAGTATATGTAAATTTTATTCGTTACTTTTTAATAATAACATTATTAATATTTATAGCATAGAAAATAAAGTGTTTTAATATTTTGTTTATCTTAATAGAGGAAATAATTTTCTATTAAATATAAATAAATAAATCTTACAAACAAGGTCCAGAATTGAAATTATAAAAAGTTATTCTTAATAAAAATTAAAAAGTGAAAAATGTTTCTAAATTCCCATAATCAATTTAAAAACTTAACAACTTATCCAATAAAAAATATTAGTTTCAAATCTCATAATAAAAGGATTAATAAGAAGAAAGCAACGAAAGAGTTTACATTAACTCACAGAGGATTGGCTTATAATTATAAAAATAAGTTTCAATTTTGTTTAGAAATATTGCTGACAATCGGATGTCTCGTTGTGTTTTGTTTCCACACAAAGCTATTGATTGAACAGTATTTTAACGGACAGACTATTGTCTACACAAAGATTGACAAAATAAAAGTGAGTAAAATACCAGCTATTACAATTTGCTTTCCTACCCTATTATCTGTGGAAAAATTTGCTCAAATGTATGCATCAAACCGATGGTTAAACCGATCCATTAATGAATACATGAATATTATGAATGATAAAAATATTAATAACGATAGACTAAACCAGTTATTTAAAAATTTCAAGAATCAAATGTTTCGAGATAATCCAAAAGTGTATGAATTGTTTGAAAACTATAGTTTCTCATTGGAAAACATGTCCATAATATCAGTGGTGACCATCAATAATATGGACTCAAATAAGAGTGAGACCATCATTACAGACACCGAACCCTTTGAGACCATTTCATCGGTGTCTGAAATGCGGAAGTGTTTCACATATTTTAGTGATTTGAACCCCAAATGGCGGACATTTAAGACTCATATCGACTATATTTCCTTAAAATTTAAGCATCAATACCAATGGTTTCCATTTCATTGGGATTTATCTGATTATCAGATAAGCATTCACTCCCCAAATGTTATTCCAGACATCAATCAGAATACCTTTAATCAAATCCGAATGCCTTCGAAGGTTACCATCACTTACAGCGAGATCCAGACCAGACTATTGCCCCCAAATTATAACACAAATTGTCGGACATATGATTTGGATGACAAGGATCACAATCAATTGAGAACAGACTTCTTAACACAATGTATAGATCAGTGTCAAAGAAAAAGGTGTAAAGAATTGCATGAATTCCCGAGTATGGATAAAACCCATATGTTTGGGGGACTACACCGTAGGGAACATTACGTGAATTTTAAGCATAAAAATGAGCATTTCTATGCAAACCAGCATCAGACCTATTTTTGTTTATTAAGCAAAAGGTGTGGTGTTTTATGCGATAAAATTTATCTGATTATCAGATAAGCATTCACTCCCCAAATGTTATTCCAGACATCAATCAGAATACCTTTAATCAAATCCGAATGCCTTCGAAGGTTACCATCACTTACAGCGAGATCCAGACCAGACTATTAAGCATAAAAATGAGCATTTCTATGCAAACCAGCATCAGACCTATTTTTGTTTATTAAGCAAAAGGTGTGGTGTTTTATGCGATAAACTCTA